TCACCTGACGCCAGGCCACGCCCCCAGGGGACTGACGGGGGACTGACTGGGGCCTGTCTCCTGCCTGCCTCCCTCTGGCCCCAGCGAAGGCGGTGGAGCCGCTGTGGCCTCGGCCGGTAGAACCCAGGACCCCTCAGCTCATCCACAAACAACCCACAATCCACAGGTATCACCAAGCACCTGTGTGTGTGCATGTGTGCCCCCACGAACACATGGCGGCCCCGACCACCACAGCCGGCGGCCTGGCCCCCGCACCTCCTCGGGGCTCCCGGTTCCCCTCCCACCAGCACCCGGGGCGCAGAGGGCTGTGCACCCACCGCCCGGAGTCTAACCCCCGGCTGCCACGTCCACGTGGCCTGCTGCTCGGTCGCAGACGAGGAGAAACACCAGAGGACGGTTCCCGCGGGCGGTGCAGGGAAGCACCCGCCCAGCCGGGAAGGCCCCCGCCCGCGCTGCCCGCGATAAGATCGACCGCGAGCACCGGGTGCGGCCAAGGGCGTGGCCCTGGCCCCGCGCCGCCAGCCCGGGCTCGCAGGGCGCTGGCAGCGCCTGGCACCCCTCCCACCTCCCTGGGTCCTGCTCTCCGGCATCGGCGTGGGCAGGTGTGCGCAGCCCAGGGCAGAGGGCTTCCACCGTGGCACCGGGTCCGGCACCGAGTCCTGGCGCCACCAACGCTGCCAGCCACGCTCCCGGTGTGATTTCAGCACGCACCCTCCGAGGCCTTTCCTGCCGCCCTAGGGTGGGTGGGGCCGGATGGAGACCTCAGGTCACCAGGCAGCGTGCCGAGATGGGGCACCGGGCCCTCCTGAGCCCGGGGCACCGGTGGCCTCGGCCCTCCCGGGGTCCCCGGCCCTGCGGCTCCTCCATCGCAGGCCGTGACTCCACCGGAAGCGGTAGCTACCGTGCCCGCCCACCCCGCAGCCCTGTGCACACTCAGCGTGGCCACACGGCCTCACGGTCACCACGGAGACTTGTCCCCGCGCCCAGTGACCCCGAAAGGTGCAGTGCCCGCTGGGCACACGCCTGCGCAGGCAGGTGGCCTCGAGGACCGGGGGGGGGGGGGGGGGGGGGCAGGGTGTGCGGAGTCACAGGGGGAACTCCTCTTCGCTCTCAACTCAGCCAGTTCCTCCCGGCCCCACAGCCCCCCTCTCCCCTCCCCCGCCTCTCCTCTGAGCCTCACTCACCCCAGGGGCCTGTCCTCCGCTCCCCCGGGGGCTCCCACCCCCCACCACTCCAGCTCTCACGAAAGCCACCAAACCACATCTCCGTCCTCAGACTCCCGCCGGGCACTGGTGACCCCTCAGGACCCCTCTCCCCGGCGTCCAGAGCCCGGGCCCCATGCAGTCCATGCCGCCAACACTGGGCCACCCGACAGGACAGGGCCCCAGCCCCGTCCTCATCTCACGTGACAGACAGGTCACTGGCCATCCCTCACCGTCCTCCTGCCCGCCCACAGCCACGCTGACCGCCTCTAACTGACCCCGCTGGTCTCTCCCAGCCAGACCTCTAGCCTCACAGCCCACTCTGTCCCCCGTGCTCCTCAGCCTCAAACTGGGCCCTCCCCTCCACGCTCATGCCTGTCCGCGGCTCAGACACCGCGCCACCTCGGCCCCCAGCTCCCCTCACCTCCCCCAGGCCCTCCAGCCAGCCTCCCCTTCCCCCCCAGGGACCATGTATCCACTGCTGGTCTCCACAGGGCTCCCCAGGGCCTCGCACACAGTAGGCCTGGCACACAGTAGGCGCTCAGTAGACCCTCCTCTGCTCGGAGCCAGTGTTCCTGAGATTCTGTCATCAGCTGGCTACCTCCAGAGCCTCTGCAGCCCTTCCACGGCGAACCAGCTGCCCACAGCCCCGACGCCACGCCCGTGCGGCTCCAGCCGAGATCCAGAAGCACCGCGCCTGCCCCCGGGCGGTGCCTGGAACGGCGGCCGCCTCCCACTGCCTTGTTTGCAGTTGTCTCTGTACAAGTCCCCGACGTCCTGTGGTTAACCAGCCAGTCCTCTCTGCGGTGTGACCGAGCTGGGCGCCTGTGCCACGCCCTCCGCCCGCACCCCGGCACCGTCCAGCTTTTCCCGACGCGTCCGGACACCATGCCAACCGACCATCTTTACTCCGCAAGAGCTGCCCCCCAGGCCCGTGAGTCCACCCTCCCGCCCCCCGGAAGCAGGGCATTTCCCACCGAGGGTCATGTCCCTCAGGGCACACACCTGTTCACATTGGATGACCGCGGCAATGGTACCAAGCACCCTCCCCTGGGAGAGACGCAGGCAGCACTCAACGCCCGGCGTCCCTCCGGTGACCAGCCGGTGCCTCCAAGACGCAGGCCCATTTCCCAGCACTCATATGGAAGGCCCCACCGCAAACCAAGCGTTACCCCAAAGTGACAGCTATTGGAATTCCACTGTATTCAGAATTCAGAGCTTCTTCAGGAGGGTGCATAGAACCATGAGCACCATCTACTCACAGTGGGAATGGCTGCTGGGGCCCCCAGGCCCCAGCCTCCAAGCCCCCAAGGCCCCCAGCCCCCACCTCCCCACCCCCCAGCTCCCCACCCCCCAGCCCCCAGGCCCCAGGAGGGAAGGAACCACCTCCTCCCAGTAAGTCCACCAGGCCCCGCCCCCAGGCCCCGCCCCCAGAGGCCCCGCCCCGCAGGCCCCGCCCCAGCAGCGCTGGAAGCTCGCAGCCCTTCCTGGCGAGGAGCCCACACCACCTCATCCGGGCGGGCGGTCCCTGCAGCCCTGCAGGCGGTAATCCTGCATTCGAGGCTCCGGGCATGACTGCACACGGGGAAGCCGGTTCCGCTTCACTGCAAACGGCGTCTGGGTTTGAAACAACAGCTCTCTCCGGCTCCCCCATAAACCCCAGAATGGCCTCTGGTAACTGAAGGGCAGATGGCTTCGCTTTGTCTCCTTTCTTCTCAGCAGCCTCTGCTGCTGGGAACGGCAGCGTTTTATAGTTTATAGCCTCTTGCTTCTCTGGAGCGGGACCTGCGAGCCGGTGGCCCCGGGGCCTGTTTCACCCCGGGGCTAGTTCCTCAAACTCTGTCCCAGGTACGCGAGGGTGTTTTCTGGATCCTGGGGCACACCGGGACTCCTGCTCCCTGGGTAACCCCGAGCCTCAGCTTCCCCATCTGTAACACGGCAGCAGCCAAACACCCCGGACACCCGCAGAGTGAGCGACAGTGCAAATAAAGACGGTAGAAAACTGCTTGGTTCCCAGTAAAAGGGCCTCGTGACTCCCTGGGGAGTCGACACAGTGGCTGACTCGACGGACGAGGGTGCGTCCCGCAGGACTCGGGGCCCAGCACCGGATCGCTGGGACAATCACCAGAGCCGCCTCCGCCTGTGGTCCCGGCGGTGGTCCCGCCAGGTGGGCCAGGCGGCCCCGGGGAACGAACCTCTTTTGAACGAAATCCACCCTAAACCCTGTTATCCGGCCGACACCGGGGCCGCATTCCTGAGGGCCCGGACGCCAAACATCGCCGATGCCAGCACGCACCGTTCCCACAGGCACCGCGTCCCTGCAGAGCCGGCACCTGGGGCTCTGCCAAGGCGTGTTTACCTAGGCTGCGTGCCCACTCTGCTCTACCCAGCAGATAAAGGAATAAGAAAATGCAAATGGAATTTAGGAAAGACTTTTTTTTTAAATGGTGTCGCTGCTCAGAACAGCCAATGCCCGGGGTCAGCAGTCCTCCTAAGGGCTATTCCGTATTCTCCACACATAGTCACGGCCTCACAAACCCCCAACGTCCCCCGCCGACGGACTCCAGGGCCCAAATCGGCGCTGAAGCATTGCATCACTTCAGACCGCGCACGAGTGCCAGGTCTCACAGGCACGCAAACAGAAGCTGCTGGCTGCCCACCCTGCGCACGTAAAGAATTGCAGCCAGCTGCGGGGTCCAACGCAGCCAGGAAATAAAGCTCTGCGTTCTCCGGGGCTCCCACGGTGATAGCATAGCCCAATAACTTATTGTTTAAGTGACTAATCTGAAACACTGACTCAGCCCACCCGCCCCAGCCTTTCTGGGTGATAATTAGGGTCACAGCCCACAGCAGCCAACCACGTCCACAGGTGGGCCCCCGAGGAGCTGCTGGGGGTCCCTTTACCGTTCCCAGACCCCCGGCCTTCCCCCAAATCCTTCTTTCTATCCCACATCCCCACTCTGGGTCTCCCTCTCCCCAGCCCCACAGGCCCCGCCTGGCACCGGGGGCCAGCTCTGTGCTGCCAAGCGTGTGGCTGGCTGAGCCAAAACAGTATCCTTCCAGGCCCCCTCCAGCCTGAGCAGGCCAGCTGGTTCCCACACTGGCTCCCCGGGCAACCGGGGGGGGGGGGGGGGTGCGGGGGGGCAGGCCTCTCAGTAACACCCCGACGTGAAGTCCCAGGCTGGTGCCGGAGCCGAGATCAAACGCCGCCCCGCTCCGCAGAGCGCTCCCACACGGGCACACGCGGCCCACTGTTATTATGGAGGAGACGGAGAGGAGACAGAGAAGACGCGGGGCGCTGACTCCCGCCACATTAGGGGTGACTCAGGGCCCATCCAGCAATTTCCAGCCGGCCCGCCCGGGGACTAATTGGCACATGGGAGGGCAGTGACCTTTGATCTCTCCAGACGGACAGGTGTGTGTGTGGCTGATGGGCACAGCCTCACCGGCAAACCAGATGACTCAGATAACCCGGAGAACGGGTTTTCACAGCACACCTCGGAGCCGCGGCCGGACAGGCCCGCGCCAGGAAGCCCTGGTCTTGAACGTGAAGCGGCCCGGGCCTGTTCCCAGCAAGAAGCTGAGGCTAGCCGCACCGGGTCCCTCCCACTCGGCTGGGGGGGGCGGGGAGCACCACCCCCTTCCCGCTCGCTCTCAGCACCCAGCCCTCCAACCGGAGGCCACACAGCCCCCCAGGTGGCCCGGGCCCCGCCCGGATGCGCCCCGGCTCGCCCGGCGGGCCCCCGGCAGGCTCCGGCAGCGCCCGGGGAGCCCCGCCGGCGCCCGGGGGCCACTCACCGGAAACAGACACCTCCATGTGCGCCTCCAGCGGGCGGTTGCTGTCCAGGGCCCGGCTGAGCTGCAGCTCGCCCGTGGCGGCGTCCAGGAGCAGCAGCCGCAGCTCGTTGCCCCGCAGGAAGGTGTAGTTGAGGCTGTCGGAGAGGTCGGGGTCGTGGGCCGGCACGCGGCCGATCACGCCGGCGGGGAAGCTGCTGGCCTTATCGGTGACGTAGTTGTTGAAGAGGATCTGGAAGTCGGGTAGCACGGGCGGGTTGTCGTTCTGGTCCAGGAGGCGCACGCGCACGGTGGCCCGGCTGACCAGCGGGGCCGAGGTGGCCTGCACCACCAGCACGTACTCCCGTCGCGCCTCGAAGTCCAGCTCGGCCAGCGCCCGCAGGTCGCCGCTCAGCAGGTCCAGCTGGAAGACCTCGGGCGCGTTGCCCTCCACGATCTGGTACATGATCTGGGCGTTGGGGCCCTCGTCGGGGTCGTGGGCGCGGATGCGGGCCACCACGGAGCCCACGGGGCGGTTCTCCTCCACCAGCAGCTCCAGCTCGTCCCGCTCGAACACGGGGGCGTTGTCGTTGATGTCCAGGACGGCCACCTGGACGTCCACGGAGGCGCTCAGGGGCGCGGGGCTGCCCCGGTCCACGGCCAGGACCCGGAGCGCGTACACGGCCACGTTCTCCCGGTCCAGCCGGCGCTGCGTGCGGATCACGCCGGACGTGGGCTCGATGTAGAAGTCCCCGTCGCCGTCGTCCCCGCCGCCCTGGAAGGTGTAGAGCAGGCGGCCGTTGGGGCCCGAGTCCCGGTCGGTGGCGGAGACCTGGAGGACGCTGGTGGACGGGGGCGCGTCCTCGAACACGGAGCCCTGGTAGAAGTCACGCAGGAACCGGGGCGCGTTGTCGTTGGCGTCCAGGACGAGGATCTCCAGGGAGGTGGTGTCGGACTTCTGGGGGATGCCGTTGTCCCGGGCGGTGATGGCCAGCGTGTAGGCCGCCTGGTCCTCGTAGTCCAGCTCCGTCAGCGTGTAGACGGTGCCGCTGTCGGGGTCGATGCGGAACTGCGGCACCGGGTCCTCCAGCACGTAGGTGATGCGCGCGTTCTCGCCCGTGTCCTCGTCCGTGGCGCCGATGGTGGCCACGGAGGTGCCGGCGGGCCGGTCCTCGCGCACGCTCACGGTGTAGTGCGAGCTCTGGAACACGGGCCGGTGCGTGTTGGCGTCCGTGACGTTGATGAAGACCTGCACGGTGTGCGAGCGCGTGCCGTCCGAGGCGGTCACGGCCAGCACAAACTGCCGCTCCTGCTTGTAGTCCAGCGGCAGCGCCAGCGTGAGGAGGCCGCCGCCGCTCTGGCTGCTGAGCGCGAAGCGGTTGCGGGTGTTGCCGCCGGTGAGCTGGTAGGTGAGGACGCTGTGAGCGTCGCGGTCCACGGCGCTCAGGGTCAGCACGCTGCTGCCCACGGCCGCGTCCTCATTCAGGCGCAGCTCGTAGGCCGGCTGCGTGAACGCGGGGTCGTTGTCGTTCACGTCCAGGACGGTGATGGACACGCTGGCCGAGGCGCTCATGGGCGGCGAGCCGTGGTCCACCGCCTCCACAGCGAAGCTGTAGCGCTCCACGGCCTCGCGGTCCAGCCCGGCGCGCACGGTGATCCAGCCCGAGCTGTTGTGGATCTGGAAAGGGAAGTCGGCGGCCGAGGCCGAGGCCGAGGCGGGGCCCGGGGCGCCCGCGCCGCCCGCGGGGGCCGGGGCCGTGTCCACCAGGCGGTAGCGCAGGCGCGCGTTCTCCCCGGCGTCCGCGTCCACCGCCTGGATGTGCAGCACCGAGTGGCCCGGCGGCACGCTCTCCAGCACGGCCGCCTGGAACGGGCTGCTCACGAAGATGGGCGCGTTGTCGTTCACGTCCAGCACCGTCACCGTCACCAGCCCCGAGGCGTTGGCGAGCGGCGGCCGGCCGCCGTCCTGCGCCCGCACGCGCAGCGTGTACTCGCGCACGGCCTCGAAGTCCAGCGGGCGCACCACGTCCAGGCTGCCGCTGAGCGCGTGCAGGTGGAACTGGCCCCGGAGGTTGCCGCTCACGATGCTGTAGTGCAGCGCCGCGTTCTGGCCCGCGTCGCGGTCCGTGGCGCGCACGCGCAGCACCGGCGTGTCCGGCGCCACGTCCTCGGGCACGCGCACGGCGTAGCGCGCCTCGCTGAACTGCGGGTAGTTGTCGTTCTCGTCCTCCACGGCGATGTGCACGGCGGCCGTGGCACTGAGCGGGCCGGGGCTGCGGCCCTGGTCGTCGGCCTCCACCAGCAGCCGGTACTCGGCCTCCTCCTCGCGGTCCACGGCCGCGCGCGTGCGCACCACGCCGGAGCGCGCGTCGATCTCGAAGACGCCGCGCGCGCCCCCGAGCAGGCGGTAGCGCACGTCGGCGTTGGAGGGCGCGTCGCCGTCGGCCGCGCGCACCGTCAGCACCTCGCAGCCCGGCTCCAGGTTCTCGCGCACGCGCACGCGGTACTCGGGCCGCTCGAAGGCCGGCGCGTGGTCGTTGGCGTCGCCCACGGTGACGGTGAGGTAGGTGGCGGCCGAGCGCGGCGGCCGGCCGTGGTCCGCGGCGCTCACCCTGAGCACGTGCGTGTCCTTGGCCTCGCGGTCCAGCGGGCGCGCCGTGCTCACGGCGCCCGTGTCCGCGTCGATGCGGAAGAAGCCGGCGGAGCGCTCGTCGAACAGCGCCTCCATCCGGTAGCTCAGGCGGCCCGCCTCGCCCTCGTCCGGGTCGTGCGCGCGCAGCTCGATGACCGCCGTGCCCGCCGGCTCGTTCTCGGGCACCGACACCTGGTAGCTGGGCAGCGGGAACTGGGGGCTGGTGCCGCCGCCGCCGCCGGCGCCCCGCCGGGCCCGCCGCGCCGCCCCGGCCCGCGCCCCGGCCTCAAGCGGCCCCGGCGGCGGCGGCGGCGGCGGGGAGGGCGCCCCCGCGGCCGCCTCCAGCGCCAGCTCCACGCGGACGGCGCCGGGCGCGCGCCGCAGGGCGCACCGCAGGCGCAGGCGGGCCGAGCGGCCGGGCGGCAGGCAGACGGGCCGGCGCGGGCAGGGGCGGCCGGGGCGCGGCGGGCAGCTGCAGGCCGGGAACGTGGTCAGCGCGGCCAGCGCCGTGTGCAGGGCGGCCCCGCCGCCGGGGCCCGGGAAGCAGAGCGCCGCGCCGGGCCCGGTCAGCACGGCCCTGGCGCGCAGCTCGGCGCGGACGGCGCGGCGGGGCCGGGGCCGGGGCCGGGCGCCGCAGCCCGAGCCGGACACGCGCGCCCGCAGGCGGAGGCTCAGCTCGGCCGGGGCGCCGCGGGCCGCCAGGCGGACGTGCAGCGGCAGCGGGCGGCCCCCGAGGCGCGGGCAGCCGCGGGGCCCCGGGCCCGGCCCGCGCCGCCGCCCGCCCAGCCGCCCGTCGCGGCTCACGTCCAGCGCCGCCCGGAGCGCCCGCGGGGTGCGCGCCGCGTCCAGCGCGTAGGTCCAGCCGGGGCCCAGGGCGAAGGCGCGGGCGCCGCCGGGCACGCGCAGCTCCCAGGCGGCCGCCCGGGGCCCCAGCGCCGGCAGGGCGGCGGCCGCGGCCAGGAGCAGCAGCCAGGGCAGCGCGGGCGGCGGCATGGCCCCGAGCCGCGCGCCGCCGGGGCAGCGCAGTCCATGCGCCCGGCGCGGCCCCGGCTCCGCATCCGCCCGGCGGGGCCCGGCGCCCGGCCCTCGCGGCAGCCCGCGCCCCGCCGCGCCGGGGGCCCGGGCGGGGACCCCGGGGGCCGCGCGCGCCGCCCGCGCCGCCGCTTCCACCGCGAGAGCGCTCGCCGAAGTTGGCCAAGTTGGTTTCAAGATGGCTCCTCCGCGCCCGGGCGGCGCCCGCCGCGCATCCACCTGCGGGCGCGGCTCAGGTGGCTCCCGCGGGCTCGGACCCCGGCGGCGGGGGAGCGGGCGGCCGGAGCGGGGCGGGCGCTGCGCTCCCGGAGCGGCCTGGACGGCTCCGCCGCTCGGACCCGCGGCGGCTGCTGCTGGCGGTGGCTGCCCGCGCCCCGCGGCCGCTGTCCCCGCCCCGGCCGCCCCGCCCCGCCCCGCCCCCGGCCGGGCGCTTTGTGCGGCCCGGGAGGGAGCGGGAGGTGCGCGCCGGGGAGGTCGCCATGGAGACGCGGGCGCGGCGGGGAGGGGGGCCCGGCCCAGTCCCCCGCGGCCTCCCCTCCGCCTCCCGGGGGCGGGGCCGGGCCGCGGCGGCTCTGCTTGTCCGGGCCCTGAGCCCCGCGTCCCACCGGGCAGCACGGGTCCGGAGGCCGCTGTGCCCGGAGGGGCGAGGGTGCGGGTGCGTTCCTGCCGGGGAGGCCGCTGGGCGGTCACACCTCCCAGCAAGTGCGGGGCCAAAGCGCCGGCCCGCGGAGCTCAGACACCAGCCGCCCCGACGCGGACGCCCAGGCCTCTAAACCAGGAGCCAAACCCCCGGTGGCATTGGTGTTCGGAGCGGGGACAGCGGGGCGAGCTCCACCCCGCGTGGCGTGGACGGGCCGGGTGTGCGCGACGCATGCTCACCGCCTGGTCCCGCTGCCCAGTGAACCACGGCCACACAGGGCGCGGGCCGGGGAGGTGGCGCGGGTGGGGCGGCCTGGGGCATTCGGAACCCGGCGACAGCACCTGTCCCCCCACTGCCTCCTGCAGGCCTGCCTGGGGGTGAGGGTGCGGGGAGCTCCCTCTCCTGCGCCGCCCCTGGTGGGGTGCCCTGGCCCCCTGGCCTGGGGTTTGGGGCGGTCAGGGGAGAGGGGCGCAGGGACAGGGCCGCTCAGGGGGAGCGGTGGGCAGGGGGTCCGTTTGGAGAGGGCGGTGTGAGCGGAGGCGGCGTGGATTCGCGCGGGAACATAAACGGACAAACAGCCTGACCCAGCATCACCCGGAGTTCTGCGAGTTTTGCTAAAAACCATGTCCTTGGGCTGCAGCCAAATAGGAGCTTCATTCCCATCAGCCGGCCACACTGTGGGGACATTACTGACCGAGGGCAGATCTGCTTTCACGCTGGGGCTTTCCACTGAGCCGCGGAGAGGAGCTGCGGGAGGGAGGGAGCCCGCCCTCCGGTGCGACCCTCAGGACCGCCACTTCCTGGGGGAGCGGGGAGCCAGCCCAGAGCACCCCAGCCCGGCGGGAGGCCCCCGTGGCGAGGGGCAGTGGCCCACCGGGTCCACACGGTTTGGATGGGCCGGACGGGTGGGCTGGGCTTGAACAAACAAAGCTCCGGCTGCAGGCGCTGCTGTGTGCACACCGCGGCCAGGGCTGGGCGGGGGCCGCTTTCACTTTCCGGAATCGGACACCTGCGGCCGGACGATAACGGCAGGAAATGCCCGCGCTTCCTGCTCCCGGCCGGGGGACGGGCAGCTGTTCCTGCAGGACGGCCAGCCGAAGGCCCACAGGCGGAGGACAGCTCCATCCGCCCGTGTCAGAGCAGGCCCGGCCCAGGCTCCAGAGGGGGGAGAGAGCCAGCAGGGGGTGTGGGCACTGTCCACTCTTTTTGTTTGTTTTAAGAAATCCATGGTTATTTGCTTTGTTTTTAAAATATATTTTTATTGACGTCAGAGAGGAAGGGAGAGGGAGAAACACATCAGTGATGAGAGAGGATCATGGATCGGCTGCCTCCTGCACACCCTGCACTGGGGATGGAGCCTGCAACCCGGGCAGGTGCCTGACCGGGGATCAAACTGTGACCTCCTGGCCCCTAGGTCGATGCTCACCCACTGAGTCACGCCGGCCAAGCTGGACCGTCCATCCTTGACCCCAGGGAGTGTGGCCTTTGTGACCTTACACTGACCTCTGCCTGGTGCTCTGTGCACTTTCCTGCAGGCACGCACCATGGAAGGGGGCGCCATGGGAGGGGGGCGGTGTGGGGAGGGGGCGCCATGGGGATGGGGTGCCGAGGGAGGGGGGCGCCGTGGGGAGGGGGCGCCGAGGGAGGGGGCTCAGGGTGGAAGGCGCTGCAGCGTGTGCTGTATCTGCGGTGTCCACCTGCTTCAGGGAGCAGTAATCGGACTCTCAGGCGGCTGGTGCCTCACATGCACGTTCCGTCTGCCACTCACTGGTCATGTGACCTTCGCCAGGCCCCTCCTCCCTCCTCATCCCCGCTGGGGGAGCGGTGGGTAGTCCAGCGTCCTAATGTCGCCTGCATCCCGAGGCCGGCACAGGCCTGGCTCGTGGAGGCTCACAGAGGGCTAAGCCTGTTGTCACCGAGCAGGACCATCGCTGTCTCCGGCCGGTGTGCTCAGTGGTTGGCGCTGTCCATGCTCACGGAGAGGCAGGGACCCTTCATCCCACTTCCCAGGGGCGTCTGGGCTCCCCTCCCCCCGGATCCAGCCCACCGTGGTGTCCACAGAAGGACTGAGGCCCTGGTGTGGGCGGCCTGGCCAGCACCCTGCCCTCCCCCCCCCCCAGGGTGGCCTCTCCTGCCGCTCTCCGGGGTTACCCTGCGGGTGAGGGGCTCAGCATATAGCAGGGCACCGGCCCCAGAGCTGCTGGCGGAGGTCCCCCCACCACCACCACCACTGCCACCCCTGCCACCACTGCCACCCCTGCCACCACTGCCACCACTCCTGAGCCCACGGAGCTGCTGTATGGCACACGAGAAGGCAGGGGGCGGAGAGGAGCCAGGAGCCGGGTTCAGGGCTGTGCACCTTCCAAGCAGCAGCCCAGCTCCTGCTGCCGGGGCCGCGGACCGGAGCCCCGGGTCTGGCTCTGTCCCCCGCAGCACCGTCCTGAAGGGCGGGGAGGGAGCCCGCGGCCGCCCTTCGCCCTCGCCTGGGAATTCAGAGGGAGACAGCTCGGCAGGCCGCCCCGCCCCAGGGCCCGCTCCGGGGAGGGTGACTCTCGGAAAGCGGGGCCGGGACCTGGCGGGCCCGTCACCGCCTCCGGCCCCGTGCCTCTGGGGGAGCCATTTCTGCTGGGAGGCTGGCAGAGCCTTCACAGTGCAGATGGCGGGGTGTCGGGCTGGGGCCCCTGGTGAGGGCCCCCGGGGGCTCCCCGCCCTCAGGTGCTCCCAAGGGGCCAGCGGCTGAGCAACCTGAGCCTGCCGCCCCTGGGCCCTGGACAGGCCTCGGCTCCAGGAAGGTTCTGGAAACGTGTGTGCCAGGCCTGGATCCCGAACCTCCTGACAGAGTGCTGTGGACACGGGGTGATGGGCACCGGTCCCGTGCCCTGTGCTGCCATTTCCTTTCTGGGGGCCATGGGGGGGCGGGTTGGACAGAGCACCAAAACGCTTCCCCCACCCAGAAGCACCCGCCGCCCCAGGCAGGCCTCCGGGTTCCAGCTGGGGCTGCAGCGGCCTCTAGTGGCCGAGCACAGTCCCTGCCCTGCCGGAGCCTGGACGCCCCCTCCCTGCCCGTGAGCTCAGGCCACGGGCCTCGCTCTGCCACACCGGGCCCTGCATGGTGAGGGCTCAGTGCCCCTGCACGCGTGGCCTACAGGCACTGGGCCCCTCGCCCCGGGAGAATGGCCTGCGCGGGCAGACTGGGAGGGGCCAACTCCAGTCCCCGGGCTCCAGGAGGCCACAGGGCTGCTCTTCGGGGGGACGGGGGCGCAGCTGGGCCAGGGGGCTCCCAGGGACCCAGGAAGATCACCCAGGGCAGGCCAGAGCCAAGCGGAGGACGGCGTCTGCTGGGACAGGAAGGGGGCCAGGTGCCCCAGGCAGACTCTGGAAAATACCTGGTTCTGTCATTACAGGCCCCCTGTGGTTGGCATTACTACACACACACACATGCACACACACATGTGATTGCACACATACGTGCACACACAAACACTTCCACACACAGGCACACACACATACACACACAGAGAGAGAGACACTATCATGAAGCCAGTGTGGGGGGCACTGCTGTCTCCTGGCCTCATTTCTCCCCCATCTCCCTTCCTCCTCTTTAGAGATACATTTCACAAGCGGTAACATCCACTCTTTTTATTTACTGTTTATTTTTAATATATTTTATCAGCTTCATAGAGGAGAAAGGGAGAGGGAGAGAGAGAGAAACATCGGTGATGAGAGACTGCCTCCTACATACCCGCTACTGGGGATGGAGCCTGCCACCCGGGCATGTGCCCTGACCGGGAATCGAACCAGTGAACTCTTGATTCATATGTCAGCACTCACCAAATGAGCCACACTGGCCGGGCTCTTTCTACGTTTTGACTGTTTTGAATAACCTCTACTTTTGAGGGGAGAAAAAAAGGCGAAACACTTCTCTGCAAAACTGCCCACTAAATGGTTTTGAAATTATTTTTTATTTCTACACTCAAGGCCTGATGCACGAAATTTGTGCATGGGGGGAGGAGGGAGTGGGGAGGGTCCCTCAGCCCGGCCTGCATCCTCTCGAAATCCAGGACCACTGGCTCCTAACCAGTCGCCTGCCTGCCTACCTGATCACCCTTAACCACTCTGCCTGCCCGCCTCATCGCCCCTAACCACTCCCCTGTCTGCCTCATCGCCCCTAACCACTCACCTGCCTGCCTCATCGCCCCTAACCAAACTGCCTGCCTGCCTGATCGCCCCTAACCACTCCCCTGCCTGCCTCATCGCCCCTAACCAAACTGCCTGCCTGCCTGATGCCCCTAACCACTCACCTGCCTGCCTGCCTGATCGC